GCGGGGGGGGGGGCAGAAGAAGGTAACAATCTGTCAAATTCTTTTAATAGGAAAGCCAAAAGGAGAGAGGCATATGTGTTGTTTAGTGCACTGAAAAATGACTGGAAACTCAAAAATCTTACAATGGAAAAAAATGAAGGTGCTTTTCCTAGCTAGAAGTTGTTGACATGGGAAACAGAAAATATGAGAGGAGGCAAACCCTGACTCTATACCCTTCCAACAAATCATCATAAATAGTCTTGGTCTCCACTTACCATAGTTCAGAGTAGGTTACTAATCACCTACTTCATGAAGTTTCAATGACCCTCACCCCATAAGCCTTGTATCTGCAAATCCCCTTATTTTAAAAAAAGTGGTAATAGACATTTGAGGGTTACTAGATCACACTCTAGGAAGAGACAGTAAGTTTAAGCACGTAGTCTGTTATTTTAGTGCTTTTAACATTTTCCTTATAGTTAAGCATCAGGAAGAAATATCCTGCATTCTGTTTTGACCACAAAAATACTTCGCTTTTCCTTTACTACTTTTTTCCTCCCTTATACTAGCAGAAAAACTGATCTCACTTTCCAAAAATCTAGGAGGATATAACAGATTGACCACACAGTTCTCTCCAAACTTCAAATGGCAATTAAGTCCATTACCCAAACCAGATAGTCCTCTGTAAGCAAAATTCCTATTAATGTTGGAATTCATTCACTCTGAAAATCACTATGAGAAATCACACTGCCAACTTGTTACATGTTGGATGACAAGGTGCTGATGTGTCCCCCACAGCACACAACCTTTGGACAAAAAACAGGCATGTTGCACGTTTCTACATGTTCACAGACAGAGGTACAAGTGTGTTATGGCACAGCCAGGCTGCCAGAATATTCCCAGCTAGCATCCAGTTCTAGACCCACTTCAATGTGCAGCAGATGATGCAGACTGTCCTCAGACTATAGATATCACAGAAGATACTTCTACTTTTATTCTAGGCCTTGCGCTTACCAGCCAAATACGAGGATGAGGCTTTAAATCTGCATTTCATCTGCTAAACAAAAGAAAGCATACAAGCAGAGGCCTCCCACCATGGCTCAGTATAAAGTTGTAGACCATAGTCAAGATAACTCTATATTTGGTGCTATCTACTAATGAGCTACTGAGCATTAGTTTAGGAGGCTTTTACAAGGGTTTATCTGGTTGATTAGACTTCTCCTCTATTCACTAACTTAACCACAGATCACCAAACAGCTGTTTTCAGTATTTGGAAAAGCATAAGGAACCATGTTAACAGAAGCTACTGACAGCAACCACAACTCCTCCTCAAGTCAAAGCACTGTCTGTGGAGTCCAACAGTGCTTGGGTAGTATTTTGGATTTTTGAAAGCATTATAA